GTGAGTGATAGTCTACTTTGATTTTGGTTAAGGTAGATTATCATTTACAGTGTAATCAGTGAGGGGATTCTGCAAACTGTTGAGGGTTCAGCCTCATGATGAGTCGGTGAAACTCCGACGAAACAGTTTGTCACAGCCCCTTGTTTGTTGTCCTCTTCTCTCTCTCTGCCTACGGTTTACCGGGCAGTTCTGTTTGTGACAATATATATATCGATATCGTATCCCTTAAGCAGCATTGGCCGCGGGGGGGTAGGTCCATGGTCCGCTGCGCGCCGGATTTGGGTCGAAATTTTGGTGAAGGCCGGCATATGAAGGCAATCGAGGGTGGGGGAGTGTGCAGAGGGGCGTGCGTCCCGAAATGTTCACAGCACGCCATTAAATGAGAGAGCGCGCTGGGGGGTTGGACCACACGGCGGCCGTTGATGAGGTTGGTCGTCGTTTTGTGTCCCCTTTTACAACTAGCCAATTAGAGGGACCTATCACTTTGGAGGAGCTGGATGAAGCCCTCGAGGACATGAAACTTAACAAAGCACCAGGAGGAGATGGATAATTCAAAGAATTATGGCTCGCAAGTTGGCATGTCTTAGGCCCCGTTTTCCTAAATTTCCTAAACAAGGCATAAACAAAGGAAGCCCTAGGATTAGACCTAAGTACAGGAGTCGTAATGTTTCTCTATAAGAAAGGAGACAAGGAGAACATTAGAAACTATCGTCCCATCTCAGTGCTCAACGTGGCATACAAAATCCTAGCCAAGATGCTAGCCACAAGAATTAACCGTATCACAGGGAATTGCTTCCATCTAGATGAGACAGGTTTCATCCCCCGAAGGCTCATCTTAGATAATGTCATGACTCTAAGCGAATCCACCAGACTGATAAACCAAAAACAAATTATAGGAACCGTCCTGTTTTTATACTTTGAGAAAGCCTACGATCAGGTCAACGGGGACTTCCTACAAAGCTGCATGAAAAAAATGGGAGTAGGACCAAATTTCCGCAGATGGGTAAGGGTGTTATACAATGACGCTCAAGGGATAGTGCAAGTAAACGGCTTCCTTTCTAATCCTTGCAAAATACTGAGATCGGTAAGACAGGGAGACCCATTAGCAGCTCCAATCTTTCTCTTTGTAATGGAGGCCATCGCGACCTTTGTTAGAAAGGACGCCTCAATTGAAAGATTAGAAAACATAGAGGATGAAAAAAGCCACTTACTCCAACTCCCTACCACCTTGCTATTTGCGGATGATCTCACCGTTCTAATCAGAGCTTCTAACTCATCCTTCCAAGCACTCACAAGAGCAATGCAGGCATTCCAGCTTCTAAGATGAAGACCAATTGAGCGAAAACGATAGGATGGTGGATCTCATCTAGCCCCCCTGCCACGGAAATTTCCCCTGAGGGCATGCAATGGGCGGACCCTTCAGTCCCAATTCGTTTCCTAGGAATCCAACTCAGTATAAAACGTTGTCATCCTAATTCAGCTGATTCCCTACTATCGGCCATGATCAGCAAAATGCATAGATGACAACGGCCTCATACATCACTTCTAGGTAGGGTTTTAGGCTCGAACAACTCCGTATTAGCCATGATGTGGTATGCTACCTCGATCTGGTTTCCCTCTTCAGACTTCCAACAACAAATTACGAAAAGAGCAGCCACATATCTATGGACCAGTAACCCAGACAAACAACACTTCATCCACAAGATAGCGTTGAAGATAGTCACCTGCCCAAAGGTAAGGGAGGACTAGGCCTCCTAGATCCGACACGCCAAATACAAGCCTTGCAAACTAAATGGATCCTGAGACTGACTCTACAGAGCAATCTGCAGTGGATACCCCTAGCACTCAATCACATCAAGGAACTGGCACCCTTCAAATCCACACCCAACATGTCCGGCCTTTTCTGGGTTTTTAACAAACGGTGGCCCCTTGCAAGAATGAACAAGTCCCTTAACCCGCAGCTGAACCGAGAAGAAGAAACAGAAAATGAATCCTCCAAATCCTTCTGGGAACTCCTTTTGCACACCTGGAGGAAAAATCTTCCCAGAGAACAGACTCGGCGCAAGAAGGAAAGATGAAGTCCTAAGGCAACCCATTTTTGGCAAACTCTGGATCAAAGATGATAAAGGCGAAAGCCTCTCTCTCTCCAAAGCAGACGCCAAATGGGGACATTGGCTTGAACAAGGCATATGGCAAATCCAACATCTGTGGAATGATTCAACAAATAACCGGAGGGAGGAAAAGGACCTCAGAAGCACCCTAAAAGGAAATCACAACCTACAAGCCAACCTATCAAGCATCATTGAAAGCATCCCAATAGAATGGCGATACTTACTAAAATCAGAGGAAAAATGGGAATCAGGGGACTGGGCCAGTCAAAAGAACAAAACCTATACAACAGAAATCCTAAGAGCACTAAGCAGTGAATTACACAACAACGAATGGATAACGTGCAGCATCTTCCCCTTGGAAGAACCAGGCAACCCGGTGAGCTTCCTCAACAAGGAAAGCAGAGCGGAGGGATCCTTTACAGTAAACAAATAAAGAAGAATAAGGGTGATAGAAAGTGACCGAAATAGAGTATATAGGCCTGATTCTGACATCTGTCACCTCAAATTGACCCTACTGAATGGTCGTGGGGCACTCTCGGCGCTGCATCCATGACACTGATGACAGTACGCAGATACAAAATAAGAGACTACACCCCTAAACTGGGCTACAAGCTGTTTCAACTCCCATCACAACGTCGGCGACAGTACAGAAAATATGGCAAAAGGACGAAAGTTCACTTGCCAACGCAACCTTCAAACCCTCCTGGAAGTCAATCTTCTGCTCTAGACCAGTTAAACTGGCCAGCCTACTCTGGCTCATAGCCTTTAGAGCAGTCCCCGTGAACCACTGGCTGGCACAAAGACGAAAGAAGGAAGACAGATCAGAACAGGAGTCATAGAGACACTCAACCACTGCTTCCTAGAGTATGAGAAGGCCCAAGCTTTATGGAATGAGGTAGAACAAACTTGGTGCAGACACTCAAGCAAACACAGTACAAATTGACCTCAGCAATCTTTTCTTAGACATAGAGCAAACCCCGCAGTGCAAAGTTTTCGACCTATTCTTCTTCTCACTAATCAGAAAAGCTTCTCTTTGGGCGATCTGGAAATGGAGATGCGACCTGACCTTCGAAGATCACCCCACTAACAATGAAAACCCTCTCATTACTATCAAACAATTAATAGAGACTGAAATCCACACCCTCTGGAAAAAATCCCGATCCAAATACAAAACGCCCCAGACAAAAAGCTCAAGATTATTAAAAGATTTACGGCAGGGAAACTAGGAGGGGGGAATTTAGACACGATAGAAGGGAACAGATTAGTCTTGAAAGACTGGTTCACTCTGCCACTCCTCAGCAATCAGGACCCGGGGAACCCTTCACATCCACCCAGAACACAAATCGATGATCAACCCAACCACGGACCGAATGACAGTCCTGATGAACATATCCAGCCTGCCAGTCAAGAAGCGTCTGATGGGGAGGGTAGCAGGGTTTAAGCAGGGGTTTACTCAATTTTAGGTGGATCAGAGGATCGAACAATGGGACACCGGACCCGGTTTCCAGCAAGCTACTATCCAGCAATTGCATTGGGGAGGACACCATTCAAGTGTCACTAAGGTCTGGTGAATTACAGAAGATAACAACAGTGATAAGGCTAGAGGGACCAAGGTAGGTACACCTTAAGCGGCCACGTTTTCTTATGGACAACAGTCGGAAGGGACGCTGGACCCGGTTTCCAGCCAGTGATTAATATGGTAACGACTCCTGAAACCCGGGTTGGCTGGAAAATCCGTGACTTGTCGTAAGGCTCCCGTCCCCCATAGGAAAAAAGGTAGTCAAAGGCCAGGCCAGAACTTCCCAAGCTCACAGTGCTCCAGTTACAGAATTTTATTAGACAGCAATAGGCTGAGAGGAGCATTGCCTTTCCAGTTTACAAAAGAGGTTTGAGTGAGCCCCAGAATAGCCCTGGTAGGTACCAATCAGTTAGGAGATTAGCAGCAATAGGCTAACTTAGGGAGGGGTGAGGGGTGTTATATCCTTCCATTTCGGAAGTAATAAATGCCGTCCTCGGGCCTCCCAGCCATGATGAGGAGAAGTGTATCAGAGTGTGTTGTAACATGGATTTCTGACTTGCGGGTGGATTAGGAACCGGACTGACGCTTCCCAGAATGGAAAAGGAGCCAGAGTCATAAGGCTCTGTTTCAAAAAAAAAAAAAAAAAAAAAAAAAAAAAAAAAAAAAAAAAAAAAAAAAANAAAAAAAAAAAAAAAAAAAAGGCAGACAGCTGCAGGCAAAAAGCAAAAAAGAAACAGAACCAATGCATGTAGGGTGTGTCGGGGCTTGACATCGGAGAACTCCATGTCCTGATCCCTGAGGACAGCAGGATCCTTTTTTTCGTTTTTTATTTTTTCGGAAATTTTTCCCGAATAAAGACTAGGAAGCCTACCACGGAATAGATTTGAGTCATTTGACTGATGAATGCAATAGTTGCAGGGGACTCGCAATACCTGCAAATGCGGAGCATGTAATTAGCAACTGTGCCTCACTGATCAATAAACTGTAAACACCGACAGATGCCCTAGTCAATCACCTTGTCAAGAGTTCAGATCTCTTGGACATGATCATACATGTGATAGACAAGCTAGGAAGAAATGTGAAGTACATCTAGGATCAGCTGATTAGAAAAGGTGGACCGCCAAGGCTGTTCAGAAATGAAGGCAGGCAAGGAATCCAGATGAGCAGTACCGGAGACCATGTTTATGGTGTGCTTGGACCGTGCTCGTGGTTTGGAAAACAACGGGTCCTGTGAGAGAGGGAGAGGTTTGTGCAATCACCAACTGCAGGAATGATAAAGGGGCTAGGATATCTTGGGATGATGGGCCACTGGCGGTCGGTGGAGTGGGGCACAAACACAAGGCTTTCCAGAGGTTGAGATGTCTCATTACCTTTTGGATGAGAGGGAGGCACAAATGACTTCTGATGTCGAAACAAAGGTCTTCTGGTAGATCTTCTAAAATCTCTTCCTCGGGTACACCTCTAGTTGCCGCCCACTTGTGACGATGGTAGTCACGCACACGCTGATCAGGTTCATCACCCATTATGGATAACACCACCCAGTACAAACAAGTCAGACAAACCGTGTCGAAGAAGCCATCAATAGTTAATTCTAGTAATTGAATACTTGATATAGCAAAGCAAACAAGGTCCCATTGGAGCTCAACCTCAACTGTCATTTGTTCCATTTGTCAGTCTGTCGTTCTGTTGGTCAGCCGGTCCATCTGTCTGTCATTCTGTCGATCGTCCTTTGGTCAGTCAGCCTGTCGTTCAGTCAGTCGTTCCATCTGTCTGTTTGTCTGTTTGTCTGTTTGTTGGCTGTTCGCTCGGTCTGTCTGTTAGTCAGTCTGCCAGTCTGCCAGTCCGTCAGTCTGCCCACCGGTTCGTCTGTTTGTCTGTCCGTCTGTCCGTCTGTCAGTCTGTTACATGCTGAGCCTGCACACGGGGCCCGTTTCGGGGCCCCGACGGTTGCTGGGGGTCCCCAGGTCGCACGGCATTCAGACATGCGCCCTGGAGGCCCACGACCGACCTGAGGGCCGCAGGATTCGATTTGAGGCAGCATTCATTTTTTTATTTTTATTTTTAATTAATTAATTTATTTTGCTGTCCTATTTTTGTCTGTTCAGGCGTCGTTTCGGACTTGCAGTCCGTCCGAACAGACTTTCGGTCTGTTCGGACAAAGGCCCCGTTTTGGGCCTTCTTCGTTCGCAGTCAGGCCCATTCGGGCCAGGTTCGTGTTCTTCCAGTAGCGGACACTCCCTGCTGCATCACCAGGGAGGGCCTGGACGTCCCGTCGGGACCCAGGCAGGCCGTTTCAGGCCAAGGACCAGAGGCACACCAGCGAGGCCCAGCGCTACTTATAGCTGGGCCAGGCCAGGGCAGACACACACAGTTCGAGTAGCTCACTTCTTGGGCGACACGCTGCTGGAGCAGCACGCCACGGTGCTGCACTAGAGGTGTAGGTAGAGCGAGGGGTGGAGGCCACCCTGCAGCGGCGCACGTACCTGGGCGCCATAGCCGAGCTCCGCGCCGGCGACCTGCGACATAGCGACGGCCACCTTCGCAGGTGAGGACAGCGAGGAGGATGACTCCATTTTCTTCTTCCTTGTCCTCCCTCCTCCTCTCCCCACCTTCTTCTTCTTCTTCTTCTTCTTCTTCTTCTTCTTCTTCTTCTCCTTTCAGAGAGAGAGAGAGAGAGAGAGAGAGAGAGAGAGAGAGAGAGAGTTTACATCGGGCTATGACTCCGGGATCTGGTTCGACATTTTTGTGGCAGACATTGAATGAACATTCCGGGGGGAGAGTATTTTTGAACTTCGCTATCGCGATCTTGGTCTTCTCCCTCCTCTCCATCTTCGTCTCGCCTCTCTCCCATCTCCTCATCCGTGGTATTCTCCCATGTGTGTGCTCAAGGAGGGACCTTTGCGCTATGTATGGGGTCCCTCCTCTCCCTCTCACATGTGTGATGTACGATGGGGTGTCGTGTCGGTATCTGTCAGGTCAGGTCATATCTTTGATCCTTCCATTGCGCTACATTGTGCTATTTTCATATGTATCTGGATGTACATTGCTTGCTGATGCTTTGCTGACGATGCGTTGTCCATTCGCGTCCTTTTCATCACTTTGCGGATCTTTGGCTCCATATACATTGCTCGAACGAGCATGTATCAGCTGGTATCGGAGCTAAGCTTCGTGAAATAGGGCAGTCTGACCTGACTCGCGAATAGGGGAATCGATCGATTGATTGCTCAAACGATTGATTGATTGATTGATTGATTGATTGATTGATTGATTAGAATAACCTAATCGATTTTCCAAACTCTGCCTTGCTGAAAATTCCGAAAAAAAAATAATTCTTTCTGAATTTCGGAATTCTTCTTTGCGCTGATTCTTTTTTTTGTAAATTCCGAATTACGCGTTAATTAGTAGCTGAAATTTCGATTTTCTTTATTATTTTGAAATTTGAATTTTCCGTTGCTTTAATATTCCGAAAGTTTATGTTTTCCGGTAAATCTCTCTTCCCAGCTGTGTTTTGGGATTCCACTTCTCAAAATCGAAAATTGCTGATTCTACTCTCATCTGGAATATTCGAATTTTCTTTTCTTTAATAAGGAGTTTCCCGAACTTGCGGAAAAAAAAGAATTTGCAGTTTGAGTTTTTATATTTTTCATTACATTATTCCATCTGCAGTCTGAAGTTCGAAATATTATTTTTTTATTTTTTTTTATTTCAACTTCGGGACTTTGGATTGGGAGACCTACCAAACTTGTGATTCCATTTTTTTTTTTAATCCCGATTTTTTTTTCCTGAAAGCAAAGTTCAAACTTTTCACTTTTCATTAGTGGCTCCTTATCTGGGCGATCAATGTGAACCCATGGGGGTGGGAAAGTACCAGTGACCACTCTCTCCCCTCCCACCCACCCCGTTTATGCTGCTCCTTTCTTTTCTCCCCCCTTTCCATCTATCTCCTTCTTCTCTGCTGCGGCATTGGTGAGTTGCCACATCAGCAGGCCACGTCAGCCGGTCATGTCAGCAGTGACACGTCAGCAGACAGCAGTGCCACAACAGCAGCCGATCAAGCCACGTCAGCAGCAGCTAGTGCCACACAAGCCCCTGCCACCGGCTCCGCAGCATATGCCAGCCGTCACCCAATCACAGACGGGCGACATGGAGCGGAAGCAAGGGGAGACTGAGGAGGCCTATGAGGCCCGCATGTTGGATCAACTAGCTGAATGCAAGAACCGGGCAGATGCGGCCACAACCGCAAGGAAAAAGAAGGAGGAGGAGGCAGAAGGACAGCGATGCCTCGCTGCCAGACAGCAAGAGGAGGGCGCTGAGGCAGCAAAGAAGACTGTGGACCAACAACGCAGAATCCGGTGAGACACACTCTTTGAAATCGAGGGCGATATAGAGGAAGCGGCCGGCAATTGGGGGGTGGCTGCTGAAGCAGAAGATGCCACCGATGCTGTGTGCGGCATTGCAGCCGCATTTAAGGGTACGATCTGGTCGCCACGTGCACAGCTCAGAAAGAGGACATTCTCTGTGTCGACACGCTGGTCAAACAGCACGCTCAGCTCATCGCCGACCTGCTCGACCGTGTGCGCAGGCTGGAACAGCAGCCTGCAGCAGCCACACCCGCCGGACCTTCCAACTTGGCGGATTGTGTGAATGTCTTGGAGGTAGACATGGGCGTCGTCAAGGACACAATGAAGCAGCAGCACACAACCAACCAACAGTTGGATCAGCACATGAGTGCAGCTGCCGCAAGCCCAGCCTCGTCATCTCATGAACACGTACCCAAGTTTGATGGTATTCCGGTCTTCTACGACGTATCGAAGACCGACCCAATACCGTGGTGGCGGCAATTCGAGTTGCGTCTGTACAACGTCAAAGACACCAACCGGCATGCCTGCCTCCACCACCGGTTGGGTGGCGCATGTCAAGCATGGCTTGACAACATGTTGTCGACACACAAGATCGACATCTCCAAGCTGCATACGAAGATCAGTTGGGCTGATCTCATGGCAGCATGGCACACGCGGTTCCAAGTGGAACCGACCGAGCTCCAGGCGATGGAGAAACTGCAGAAGTTCCATCACAACGCCTTGCCGAGCCCCGATTGGATCACCGAGTACCAACGCTTGGCAACCACGCCGGACTTGCCAATCGGTTTTAAAGGTGTGAAGCGTTACTTCATCACCCCATAGTGTCCGACATTGCAAAATGCCCTGACGCAAGTCACGGAGACACTCAGCACAAGTGAGTTACTATGAGAAGCGGTTAATGGAAGGCCCAAATTCGGCGAATTTCGGCGAATTTTTCACTTAAACTGCCATATTTCCCTAAATTTTTTACTTTTTTCTCGTTTTTTCTTTTTGCCTATTATATATGTGCTTTAGGGTATATCTCCATTGAGTTTTGCTGTATTTGGAGCAGTAACAAAAAACTTCGCAAAAACAATAGACTCAAAAAAAGCTTTGGCGAACTCCGAAAGCTACTCCGAAAAGGGTTTTATAGTACTCTTGATTTTGATTTTTTCGGTTTTTTTTTTGCCTGATTGGTTTTTGATGTTTGCATTATGACCCTGCATAGTTTGTTCGCAAAAGTTTCGACAACATTGCTTTTGAAAAATATTTTGCGCCGCCCAAACGCTCAAGAAGATCATCAATACGAGCAAGAGGCCCAACATTCTTGACGATTTGAGCGATGAGCTTGCGATAGTCAATGCACAAGCGAAGGTCCTTGTTCTTCTTCCGTACGAAGAGAACCGACGCACCATATGCTGAGCTACTAGGGTGGATCCAACCCTTGTCCAGGGAATCATCGAATTGCGCGCAGAAAACCGCGAGCTCTTCCTCGCTCATGCGATAGATGCAACCTTTCGGCGGCACGACACCGGCGTCAAGAATGATCTCATGGGAAATCGGCTGATCCGGCACCCCACTGGTAGGAGACTCGAAGACGTCGGCGAACTCGTGAAGCAACCGCACCACGCGGGGGTTTGAAGGCAAGTCTGTGGGTGAAGATATATGTGCTTTAGGGTATATCTCCATTCAGTTTCGCCGTATTTGGAGCAGTAACAAAAAACTTAGCAAAAACAGCAGACTCAAAAAAAGCTTTAGCGAACTCCGAAAGCTACTCCGAAAAGGGTTTTGTAGTACTCTTGATTTTGATTTTTTCGTTTTTTTTTTGCCTGATTGTTTTTTTGATGTTTGTACTATGACCCTACATAGTTTGTTCGCAAAAGTTTCGACAACATTGCTTGTAGCGACGCGGCGAAAAACCCCGAATTTTTAGCCTTCCATTAACCACTAGTGGTTACTATTGAACAAGGCCTCGCAGATCATCGCGACGAACACGGGAGCCCGCAATGCTGGCTATTCGCCTTCCGCAGGCCAGAGCAGAGATCAGCATTGGCCGAAAGTGGTCGTGGTAGCAGCAACAACGCCGACTGACTCTAACGAGGCTGCTTCCTCAGATGAGGGAGACAGGTTAGCAGCTGCCCGGAGTGGTGGCCGCCCGGCCAAAGGTCGAGGGCGCTGCAAATCGAAGACAAGCACCTCTTCATCCCCCGGGCCCAGCACAATAGCTCCAGACCTTGGCTTCCTTACGGCATCTCGGAGGCGGTATACAAGATCCGTACGAGGTACCGATATTGTTTGTGGTGCAACAACGATGCACACGACACCGCAGGCTGTCCCACAAAAACCAAGGGAATGTCCCTTCCGGGAAAGTGAGCACCACTGAGAGTGATGCGGCTGCACTCTCGATGCCTTCGGAACCGGTTGCTTCACGAGCGACCTCCCTTAGTTCCGAGGCACATGCGGAAGTCGTAAAACCTCTTCTCTATTCTTTTGAGGACTCTGCTGCCCAGCTCGTTCATCTCTGGGTTCTCTAGCTCAAGGACAAAGTGTGTGCATGGTTTCATCTCCGTCCGACAACATTTCATCGTCTTCAAGTGGGTTTTCAAGGGATTCGGCACATGAGTTCAACGTAGAGGTCTTGGACCTGTTGTCGCCCGAGGATTTTGCATGGGTTCCTCTCCCTTCCACGGGCTGCTTACCGGGACCGCAATGCGCAACACTATGCGCCCACCTGCACACGTATTTGTCCTCCTACGCACCACGAATTCCGCCGACGGATGGCGAAGTCGCGGTGGGGGACCTCCTTGCGTATATCACCAAGGTGGCCAGCGAGTTTTGCACGCAGCGCTACGATGACAACAACACACCGCTCCTTTATGTCTGCATCCAAGTTGGGCAAGTGTAGTGCAGACTTCGAAGGGTTGGCCTTGGCGCACAAGTTCGAAGGAAGCCACATCCTACAACGGTCAAGATGGCGGACGGTCGTACGCAACGACTCCTTGACCACTACATCGAGCCCATGTCAGTTTATTGTGCACCACATGCATGCGAACTGGTCATGTTTAACGTACTGGGCACAGACTTCGACATCATTTTGGCGATGCCTTGGCTCGTGAGTGCAGGCCACACGGTCAACTTCCATTGGCAGACACTTACCGTTCGCGACACTTTTGGCGCCGAAGTGCCGTGCACTATTCCTCTTCCGTAGCCCTCGATCCGGTGCCACCAAGTCTTTTTGGTCCACTGGCGCTTACGAGTGGACCAACAAGATAGGCCTTTGTTTTCTTCATACCGTCGCGGCAACCGAATCTTCACCCACGGACTTGCCTTCAAACCCCCGCGTGGTGCGGTTGCTTCACGAGTTTGCCAACGTCTTCGAGTCTCCTACTGGTGTGGTGCCGGATCAGCCGATTTCCCATGAGATCATTCTTGACGTCGGTGTCGTGCCGCCGAAAGGTTGCATCTATCGCATGAGCGAGGAAAAGCTCGCGGTTTTCTGCACGCAACTCGATGATTCCCTGGACAAGGGTTGGATCCACCCTAGTAGCTCAGCATATGGTGCGTCGGTTCTCTTCGTACGGAAGAAGAACAAGGACCTTCGCTTGTGCATTGACTATCGCAAGCTCATCGCTCAAATCGTCAAGAATGTTGGGCCTCTTCCTCGTATTGATGATCTTCTTGAGCGTTTGGGCGGCGCAAAGTATTTTTTGAAATTGGACTTGAAGTCGGGCTATCATCAGATTTTGATACGCCCGCAAGATTGCTACAAATCCGCATTCAAGACGTGGTCTAGACATTTTGAGTGGGTTGTCATGCCTTTTGGCCTCACCAATGCCCCGACGACTTTTCAAGCGTCGATGACCAATGAGTTCCGCGCGATGCTGGACCGGTTTGTGCTGGTCTACTTTGACGGCATTCTCGTCTATAACCGGACCTTGGAGGACCATCTTGAGCATCTTCGACGTGTGTTGGAGACGCTCCGTCGCGCCAACTACAAAGCCAACCACGACAAGTGCGAGTTTGTGCGTCAAGAGCTGGAGTATTTGGGCCATTTGTTACACTGGAGGGCATTAGTCAATTGTCAGGCAAGATTCAAGCCGTCCAAAAGTGGTCGGAGCCGAAGAACGTTACCGATGTCCGCTCGTTCCTCAGTCTCGCCGACTACTATCAACACTTTATCAAAGGCTATTCGAGGATTGCGGCTAATTTCACCAAGCTTCAATGCGAGGACCGGCCGTTCGACTTCGACGACGATGGAGGGGCTTCATTTTTGGCCCTAAAAAAGACGCCTTGCTATTCGCGAAGGTTTACGCACCTATAAACCTCTTTTGCCGACTCGCGTCACTACCGATGCGTCTTGCTATTGCATTGGTGCCATCCTCAAGCAAACACGATGGCGTGGATTGGCATCCGGTTGAATACTTTAGCAAGAAGGTGCCCGCCCTGCACTCAATTGATGACGCACAAAAGGAGTTATTGGCCTTCGTACACGCGCTTAAGCGGTGGCGGCATTTTCTTCTTGGTCGAAGTCAGTTCTGATGGGTAAAGGATAACAACCCGTTGGTCTTTTACAAGACCCAAAACACGGTTAATAGTACCATCGCCCGTTGGATGGCTTTCATCGGCCAGTTTGACTTTTTCCCCGATCATATTCCGAGAAAGACAAACTGTTTTATGACCGCTCTTCCGCAGCACTTGGACCTTTGTATCGCGGTCTACTCGACATTCGAGATTGACGACGGCTTGTGGGACAAGTTGACCCCGAGTTTCGCAACAAGTACGCAAATTGCTTCTCTCCAAATTTGGCGCCATCACATTATCGGATCCAAGAGGGCTCTCTGTTAGTCCACTCGCGGGGGAAGGATCTTCTTTGCATGCCAAGTGATCCACACTTGCCTATGCGGCTTCTTGGCAAGTTCCGCGACGCTCCTGCCACCGGACATTTGGAGTCGATCGTACGATTGGCCAACTTTCTCGAGCGCTGTTGGTGGCCTGGCCTTCTCGGCGACGTCACACGCTATTGCGAGTCATGCAAGGTTTGCCTGCATTGCAAATCCCGCAACCATCGGCTGTTCGGTGAGCTGCGACCATTACCGGTCCCCTTAGGATGACAGGAATCGATTGCCATGGACAACACCAGGCCGTTTCCCAAGCACAAAACCGGTATGGATGGGATTCTCACGGTGGTCGATCGACTCACCAAGTTTGCCATGTTTTTGCCTTGCCGTTATCGCGCCAAGGCACCGGAGATGGCCGAGGTTCTTTACGCCCGTTGGATTCGAATCAAGGGTTACCCAAGGACTTTCATTTTTCAAAGTTGGCTCTTTTCATTTCGGTAGAACGCAACAACTTTCCTGGGCGACGATTGCAATACCCACCCTCCATTGATGGTTTTCAGGAGGTTAGCGACATCATTTCACAGCGACGCTATGACACCAAGCCGGCGGAGTATTTAGTACACTTCTCCTACTGCAGCCACAAGGCTGACCGCTGGTTGACCCTTGTGGAGTTTCAGGCTACAGCCCCCCATGTCCTCGCATGTTACAAACACAAACAGCAAGGCAAGCCAGTATCTTCGACTCCACGCCATACTCGCGTCCAGGTTCCACCATCGGATCGTCAGCTTCGCCCTCAACCCGGCTTGAGTTCATAAGGAGGGGGGGGTGTTACATGCTGAGCCTGCACACGGGCCCCGTTTCGGGGGCCCGACGGTTGCTGGAGGCCCCCAGGTCGCATGACATTCAGACATGTGCCCTAGAGGCCCACGGGCAACCTGAGGGCCGCAGGATTCGATTTGAGGCAGCATTTATTTATTTATGTATTTTGCTGTCCTATTTTTGTCTGTCCAGGCGTCGTTTCGGACTTGCAGTTCATCCGAACAGACTTCCGGTCTGTTCAGACAAAGGCCACGTTTTGGGCCTTCTTCATTCGCAGTCAGGCCCATTTGGGCCAGGTTCGTGTTTGTCCAGAAGCAGACACTCCCTGCTACATCAGCAGGGAGGGCCTGGACGTCCAGTAGGGACCCAGGAAGACCGTTTCAGGCCAAGGACCAGTAGCACACCAGTGAGGCCTAGCGCTACTTATAGCTGGGCCAGGCCAAGGCAGACACACAGTTCGGGTAGCTCACTTCTTGGGCGACATGCTGCTGGAGCAGCGCGGCACGGCGCTGCGCTAGGGAGTAGAGGTGTAGGTAGAGCAAGGGGCGGAGGCCACCCGGCAGCGGCGCACGTACCTGGGCGCCATAGCCGAGCTCCATGCCGGCGACCTGCGACATAGCGGCGGCCACCTTCGCAGGTGAGGACAGCGAGGAGGACGACTCCATCTTCTTCTTCCTCGTCCTCCCTCTTCCTTCCTCCTCTCCACACCTTCCTCTTCTTCTTCTTCTTCTTCTCCTTCTTCTTCTTTCAGAGAGAGAGAGAGAGAGTTTGCAGGCAGAGGTTCGGGCTATGAGCCCGGGATCTGATTCAACATTTTGGTGGCAGACATTGATTGGACATTCGGTGGGGGAGACTATTTTTGGACTTCGCTATCACGATCTTGGTCTTCCCCCTCCTCTCCATCTTCGTCTGGCCTCTCCCCCATCTCGTCATCCGTGGAATCTTCCCATGTGCGTGCTCAAGGAGGGACCTTTTCTCTATGTATGCGGTCACGCCAGTATCTATCAGATCAGGTCATATCTTAGAGTCTTCTGTTGCGCTACATTGTGCTATTTCCATATGTATCTGGATATACATTGCTTGTTGATGCTTTGCTGACGCTGCATTGTCCATTCGCGTCCTTTTCATCACTTTGCGGGTCCTTGGCTCCATATACATTGCTCGAACGGGCATGTATGTCCGTCTGTCTGTCTGTTCATCTGTCTGTCTGTCTCCCCCCTCCCCTCCCCCCTCAAAAAAAAAAAGACGAACTTCAAGCTGCTGATCCAGACCTAACCCCTTCTCATTTCTTTCTCCATCCCCCTCTGAGGAGCAAAAGTTTTCATGATATGGAAGTGGAGCAAGAGTTGACCTTTGTTATATTGCTTGGAAGACCCATATGGCGCATCCAGCTCTCCATGTCTTTCCTTCTCAGCCGCATCTCGTCCTTGCGTTTATTTAAGGAGTGCAGGAAGCCCTGCCAGAATGACAGCAGATCAGTAGAATCAGCATGACAGATGCTGTATCTGCGGTAGTGACTGCATGCAAGACTACTTGGCGCTCGCCCAAAAAGCTCAGATAGGCATGTTACAGATCCAAGGATGTTACCAATTTGAGAACACACAGAGGGAATTTCAGTGGGAAGCAAGAAGGTGTGGATAAGCTAAGCGAGGTTTGAAGAGGGGCCAAGAGGGGAAGCTCGGAGGGGAAGCGGCTTACAGAACATGCAGAGAGAGAAGTCCACAGGCGAGGGCAGAGGTTCATATGTCGTGTGAAGAGCGGAGATTGGAGAAAGGGAGGGAGAAGATTGGAACAATGCAAGGTGCCGATAAGGTGCTAGAGGAGTTCATGAGATGAGTTCAGGAGTTTAGGAGAATGGCCCTGGGAAGGTACAGAGGGGAAGGAGCAGGTCAGAAGAATGCATGCCCCCCCCCTTCCCCTGAGGGATAGAGAAAATGGTCCTAGAACACATGGACGTACGTGGAGAAGAAGGGAGAGGAAGTTCGAAGAATGAGGGAGAGGAGGATCAGAGAGAAAGAAGGATGTTGGGAGAAGATACAGGAGTAGTTTCGGCAAATGCATGGCTTCAGCTGATTCAACATACCTGCATGTTTCCAACCAGCAAGGCAAAGAGTAACAAGCCTGTTATGATGATTGTAATGCAAAACAGAAGCTCACTGACAGAAGTCCCACTAGGGATCAAAAGATCTGCAAGATTGCTGAAGAGTGAACACACATCCAACGGGCCCACTTTATCAACACATGGGAAGAAAACACAGACGAATTAACCTTACAACTTTTATGGAGACACGTATATGATTCAAAATTTAAAATAACTTTAAATAAGCATAAACCTTCTGCAAGCAAATTTGTCAGAAATCAACTGGAAAAAGAGAGAGGCATGTCCCCAGCCCCTGTGGCTGAGCGATACACACATGTAAGCTCTTAGTAAGCAGATCGCAAATTCGAGCCCGGATGGAATCAGATGGATACGATAATGGTAGACCTACCCAGTTAAAAAAAGAGTTGTCAAAAAGTCGGCTCTGCAATGAACCGGACAAATCACTGCCTCAGAAAATGCTGTCCCTTTGATCAGTTTTTCCAACCTTTCCGAGAATTCCATGCCTGAGTCCATTCTTCTGCGATTTGCTATGTTTTCTAAGTGTGCTTTCTAAAAACCCGAATTCTCTCTCCCATTCCATCCACAAATCATCATAAACCATCCATAGAACGAATAAAAGTATTGGCGGGCAATATAATAGACGGTGCAAGGTCCCCACGTTTGTGTGGTTAAGCGGGAAGTGCCCACACACCTGTCTGTTGCTGAAGCAGCACACTTGCACAGATATATATATATATATATATATATATATATATATATCGTCACAAATAGAACTGCCCGGTAAACCGTAGGCAGAGAGAGAGAAGAGGACAACAAACGAGGGGCTGTGACAAACTGTTTCGTCGGAGTTTCACCGACTCAT